CCCCCTTTCCTGAGCCACGTAGCCAAAGCCATCCCCACCCCCAGCCCATGGGGGATCCCTCAGCCCCCAAAAGGCAGAACTCCAGGGCGATTTCCCGGGGAGCCTAAGCTGCCTTAATGCTTCTTACATGATTTATTTATTCATGTGGGAGTGCTGAACGTGCCTTAATCACCCTGGAAGCTCCTGGCTCCAATCCCGCCGCCCTCCCTGGTTTCCAGGGAGTGTGTGGCCACCGACTGAGCCCTGAGTGGGGTCTGGTGCTCTCAGCAGCCCCCCCAGAGCCCTGGCAGGGGTGCCAGCTCCCTCCTGCCCGGCCACCCAGCTCCTGGGTGTGGGTGGCACCCAGGGATGTGACATCTAGGTGTATCCAGGTGTGTTCCCAGGGCAGGGTCCCGTGTGGGATGGGTCTCCTCCCTACCCTGGGGTGTCTGGGGGGTTTGGCAGGAGTCCCTGTGCCCAGAAGTGTCAGGGGGAGAACAGGCTCCCAAATTCCACAGGGCTGCTGTGCTGAGGGTCCCGATGGCCATGGAAACCTCCCACAGTTCATCCATCCAGAGCTGCCCGGGGAGCTGAGAACTGGCCTTTTTGGACAGATCCCATAAGACTCCCTGAGCTCCATGGAGGTCCCTCAGGAGCTGGGGAGGGTGCTGGCACCAAACAACCACCCCAAATGCTTCCCTTTAACTTAAAAAGATATTTAGGGTTAACTTGTGAAGAACAGCACAAACCCAGGAACCTCAGCAGCACTGGACAAGGGGAAAACACCCATGAGGTAAGCCCCTTAAAGTGTCTCCAGATTTTGGGAAGATATGGAGGGGTCTGGCAGCTGTGTTGGATCGTTGGAGCTGGTCATGCTTCCACAATACCAGGCCCCTGAGGTGTTGGATTCCTGCTTGCTCCATGAGGGTGGAAATACTCCTCCTGACCACGTGCTGAGAAGGGAGGACACCAGTTCCCCGGGGATGGTCCCTCAGAGTCCCAGAGCTGTAGCCAAGAGGTGCAGGACGTGCTCAGTGCTGGGGGTGGGTGATGGTGGGAGCCCTGGGTTTACCCGGCGGGATTTAATCTCTGTAATCCCCTGCTACACATCGTGGAGTTGTGTTCATCCCCTGGGCTCTGGTTTGGGGCTTTCTCATCATCCTGCACCCCTCCTGGGGCACAGGGGTGACGGGGGTGCCAGCCCCCAGCTGGGACAGGCCATGGCTGGGGCTCCATCCCTGCCTTGTGCCGAGTCAGCAGCTCTGGATTCCTGGCACACCCTTCCCACACATCCACGCCAGGGCCCCTCAGGAGCAATCACTCCAATTAGGGGCTTTAAAATGCCATTAATCCTGCAGCTGGAGCCGGTGTGTCCCCAGGCTGGGTGTGTTGGAGCAGCAGCAGCCATGCTCCTGCCACAAATTCCAGGAGAATTCCTCTTGTGGTGGTGCATCCCTGGCTGTGCTGCCCACAGCGGTGGGAGAGGCAAGAGGTGGCCCTAGGCTGGGGGGCTTTTGCATTTCTCTTCTCCCCTGGAGCTTCTTAAACCCCTCCTTGCTTTCCCAGCCATCTCCATGGGGTTGGTTCCTGGCTGCCTTCCAGCTCTTCCCTGTGCCTTCCCCACTGGTGCAACCCCAACCCCCCCGACATTCCTGGTGCTGAGTGGAGATCCCAGCCCCATCCACAGCATCCCTCTGGGTCTCCCTCCCTGCTCTGAGGTCTCCACCCTGCTCCCCCTCCCCCTGGGCCTTGGGGCCCAGCCCAGCCCATTGTGCTGAGGGTGCTTTGGTTTTAATCCCAATTAGCTGCTTCCTGGGCCGCTTTCCCAGCGGGCTCCCGAGGGCTCCCAGGGCTGTGTCTCATCATCCCTCCTCTGATCTAAGATCAGGCACCTCTCCTTCACTTTCTAATCTGGTTATAGGTGTCCCTGCTTAGTCCAAGAGCCGATCTGAGCCAGGGGCAGGCCTGGGAGGCTCCTGGCTGTGGCCAGGGCTGAGGGAAATCATCTGGATCTTCTTTATCTGCACTTTGCTGGGATGTAGGACACTGGCATGCCATGGATGGGGGTGCAGGCTGCTCTCCACAGTGTGACACTGCTGCCAGGAGCTGGGGACAGCTGCTCACGGTCCCCAGACTGGCCCGGTGGCCCGGAGTGAGGTGGCAGTGCCGGCCTCTGGCACAGCCCGGGCTGGGGGAGGTGGCTACACGCGGGTGCTGGAGTGATTTATCCCTATTTTTCCTTCCCAAGGCATCCAAACAAGGCCCCGTGTGCTCGGCTCACCCTCCCTGCCGGCCTGGCTCGCCTCGGGGCCGTTGCTATTTTTGGTGTAAATGTTCCTTTTCGCGGCCTTTCCCCGGGGGACGATGGGCGTCACCGGCTCCTTTATTTGCCGTGGGATGCCGGGACACAGAGCGCGGGATGCAGGCGGCCATTCCCGGCGGGATGGAGGGCTCGGGGAGGAGCTGCCCGAGGGATGGGATGGGATGGGATGGGATGGGATGGGATGGGCAGGGAGCGGAGCCGCTCCGTGTCTGACCCGCTGACCGGGTATTGCCGGGCCGGCCGCGGGGGGGGCTGCCCGTCTCTCTCCGGAGGATTTTCTCCCTTTTAATCCCCTCTTTCGGGATGAAAGGCTGATTGTGGGCACAATCTGTGCAGCCTGCCCACCCCAGCGCGGGGCGAGGAGAGCTGGGTCCCAGAGATCCCGGTCCCCTTCCCTCGCTGCCTCCCATCCGTCCCACGCTGCCTCGTTCACTCCAGTGGGAAGAGTATCCACGGCCACAGTCTCTGTTTTCCCTGCTGGCCACGGGGCAGAGCAGATCCGAGGGCTTTGGACCCGCAGGGCTCCTGTCCCGGTGCTGGAAGAGCCCGCAGTGTTTCCCCGCTCGCTGAACGACATTCCCGGGGCCACCGCGGCTGCCAGGATGCTCTTCCCGAGCTCCTTAAGCCTCGCTGCCCTCGTCTTGGCGCGCGAAGGGGCCGGGGCAGTGACACATCCCTGAATCTGAAGCAGCCCGGTGATGCACGGGCTCCTGGCGCTGCTGCTTCCTGCTGCCGGCATTCCCAGCCCGGATTTAATCCGCAGGGATGCTCAGGAGCTGCTCGCAGCGATTGCATAACCCACGGAACACACACGGGGGGTGAGGCTGGGCTGGGCAGGGCTGGGATCCCACTGGGCCAGGATCTCACCGAGCTGGGAGAGCTGGGATCTCACCGAGCTGGGAGGGCTGGGAGAGCTGGGATCCCCCTGACTGGGAGAGCTGGGATCCCCCTGACTGGGAGAGCTGGGATCCCACTGAGCTGGGACCCCCTTGTCTGGAAGAGCTGGGCTCTGGGAAGGGCTGGGCTGGCACAGGGGGTTCCCAGGGCAGCTGGGTCTGCAGCGGGGTCACTGCACGGGGGGACTGTGGGATGGGCTTGGAGTGAGTGTGGGAGAGGACCTGGGCACAGCAGAGGCTGGTGATGGGGGTTTGGGGTGTTGTGACAAGTTTGGGGGAGAACTGATGGGGACAGGGGTGAGCCCAGGGCTGGAGGGGTCTCTGGGGAAGAGATGAGGACAGGGATGATGCCGGGACTGGAGTGATCCCAGGACAGGGGTGACAGCAAGTCTGGAGTGGTCCCTGGGGAAGGGTTGGGAACAGGGATGAGCCCGGGACGTGGGTGATCCCAGGACTGGAGTGATCCTTGGGGCAGGATGGAGAAAGGGATGAGTCCAGGGCTGGAGGAGTCCCTGGGGAAGGGGTGGGGACAGGGATGGCCCCAGGGCTGGAGGGGTCCCTAGGGAAGGCCTGGGGCAGGAGTGGGTCTGGGAAGGAGCCAAGGAACTCGGGCCCTGGAGTGATGCCGGGGTGAGGATGTGAGGGGGCAGCCCCTGGGGCAGGTGAGGGGCAGGAGAACAGCTGTTCACAGGGACAAGGACTCTTCCCTTCCCCACACTGGGACCTGCTCGGGTCCTGTCCCCTGTGGGGCTGCAGCTTCCCCCGTGCCACCACCACCCTCAGCAGCCCCAGGCTGCAAAAACCCCTCCAGCACGGGAGGGTCGGGGTGGGAAGGGAGAGGGAAAACCTCCGGGATGGAAAAGCTCTGGATTTCTTGGAGCTTCAGCTGCTGCAGGAGGTCTCACTTGGAGCTGAACAGAGCATTTGGTTCAGCCTAAGCCTCAACGTTTTGCTTCGGTTTGAAGGGGTTTTATTTGTTTAACCTGAAAATTGAAGTGATAGAGAATCTCATGCTGTAAAACCGCTCTCAGCCCTCAGTGGAAATTTGGTTTGTTAATGCTCCATCAGATCCTTCTCAGCTTCTTCTGAAACCCTTTGCCTTTTAAAATTCTTCTCAGCAACACTGTGAAAGTGGTGTAAATTCACAACTCGTTCCCACATTTGCATTTTTCACCCTAAAAAATCCCAGCTGCGAAACGTCTCCTGGTCCTGGCTCCGCTCTGGGACCGAAGGAGCGCCTGAAGGAGCAGTGGGAGGTGCTCCTGGAGCAGTGGGAGGTGCTCCTGGGCTCACCCAGCTGCTGGGAGTTCAGTTTTTAAGGGAAAACCAACCCTCCCACATCCCGAGAACTTCAGGGGGAGTTTTCTTTCCCTTCTGACACAGCCATGAATGGGATTGGTGTTTCCCAGGAGCCCATCCCCAGGGATGTGCTGGCTGGGCAGCTCTCCTTTGGCAGTGCCCTGGGCATGGCTCTTCCTGGCTGTCACCTCCTGGTGACAGGAGCAAGAACTGGTGGCACCTGGCACGTTTCCTGCTGTGTCCCATCCCTCTCCTCTGGGGTTTGGGGCCTGGGGCTGCCCCATAGGAAGCTCAGTGGGGCTCCACACACTGGACTGGGGCAGGTCTTGCTCTTTCCTTCGGAAGGAGGTTTTTTTGGATGATTCCAGGTCCTGAGGCCATGGCAGAGGGTGGCTGAAGGCCAGGGGATGGAGGCTGGCTGAGGGCCAGGGGACTGAGGCTGGCTGAGGGCCAGGGGATTCATCCTGGCTGGCTTTGTGGGGAGGTTTGGCCTCCTGGGAGGCTCCAGGGTGGGTGCTCTGCATGGAGGGGACAGTGGGAATGGGAACACGCTGGTGGCCTTGGCTGGGAAGCTCTAAATGCCATCGAGCACCTCTGGAGCTGCAGAGCAGTGTCTCCTGTCACTGGACATCAAACCAAATGGGTAAATATCGGGATGCTGCGTTTTTCCTCATGCGAAGCACTTGGAGAGGCCGGGAATGTGGCCTGGGATGTGCTTCCCCACCGACCTCCTGACGCTGCCCTCTCCCTGGCCGGGTTTGGGTGGGAAGTGCCCCGTGCCGGAGGTCCCAGCAGAGGGGCTGGAACTCTGGCTCCATCCCCACCCCTGTGCCCCCTCCCCATCCCCGTGCCCCCTGACGGCCCCGTCCCCGCAGGAGTTCGCCACGCTGACGCGAGCTCAGCGCCTGCCGGGAGCAGCTCCTGGAGCGCGAGGAGGAGATCTCGGAGCTGAGGCGAGCGCAACAACACCCGGGTAAGGGGGGGCCGTCGCTGTCCCGGGGATGTGGGACCCCCCCAGCCCAGCGGTGACCCCCCTGGCTCTGCCCCCGCAGCTCCTGCTGGAGCACCTGGAGTGCCTGGTGTCCCGGCACGAGCGCTCCCTCCGCATGACCGTGGTCAAGCGCCAGGCCCAGTCCCCGTCCGGCGTCTCCAGCGAGGTCGAGGTGCTCAAGGCTCTCAAGTCGCTCTTCGAGCACCACAAGGCGCTGGATGAGAAGGTGAGGCGGTGTTACACTCGGTGTCACACTCGATGTCACACTCGATGTCACACTCGATGTCACGCTCGATGTTACACCCCGCAGTTTGAGCTGTAAGCTCTGCCCACAGCGCTTACGTTTTAAGACTTTTTAAAAGCCTTTTGGTTTGTCACAGCCTTGAATTCGCACCCGGGGGAAGAGTCGCGTGCTCTCCTCTAAGAGAAGTTCTTTTAATTTAGTGAGGAAAAGAAGGTGTTTTGGCAAAAGGTTTTGCAGGAGCTAAAATGCAACCAAGGAAAAATGTTTTACTGAGACACCCAGCGCGAAGACCCGTTCCCCAGGATTGATACACCAGCTTTAGTAAAACACAGTTCATGGGTTTTAAGTTGCCCACAAGGGAAAGGAAAGAGTAAAAGAAGAAAACAGATTAAAAGGGTAAAGAAAGAGAGAAGAAAGGGAGAAGGAGAAAGAGGAAAGGAAGGTCAGAATTCCATGTATGTGTCCACTGAGTGACAGTTTTCGCAGGGTATTTATACCCTTGACCAAACAACTTACAAAGTTTTATTTTAAAGGTGCATTCATACGGAGTCGATACATGACAACTTGCAAAGTTTTATACTTACTATTAAATAGTCATTATAATTACACGTATATTTTAAGACCAATAGGTGACTACTCTTGTGTTAAAATATCAATTACTGTTTGCTGAAGCTCTTTTCTTGATCTTACACCTCATTTTGTCGGGAGGGCAGATCCTTACTGGCCTCTCTTGAGCTCTTCTCTTACCTGGTCACTGGGGGAGTTTTCTGTTTACAAGCAGTTACAATCTGGTATTTATTCAAACCAAACTTGTGGTTACATTTTACAAATTTATACTTGTGCTAAGGGCAGCTGAGTGCTGTAGGCCTGGAGCCTCGAGTCCTTGTTTCACGTGGAACCCTTCAGGAGGAAGGCCTTGGATACCCCAAAGCTGCCCCCGGGAGCTGGGGGGGCTGCCAAGGGGGTTTGGGGCTGTTGGGGACGAGGAGCTCCCCTGAGCCCCTCCTGGGGGCTGGCACTGGGCACTCTGGGTCAGCCTCTGCACTGTGGCTCTTGTTCCTCCTGGTTCCTTTGCCTGAAGCATCTCCTCCCTCTGCCAGGGGATGTCTCCAGGCTGTCCTGGCCACAGATCTCCCAGAGCTGGCCCAGGCTCTCCCTTCCTCCCCCACCACGGGATGGGCTGGATGATGCTGAGCCTGTGAATCCCCCCGAGCCTGGCAGGGCTGGGAGCTGGCCTGGATCCTGGGCACCCTCCTCGTGGATCAGTAACGGCCTCTCCTGTTGTTTCCCACTCCTGCAGGTCCGGGAACGCCTGAGAGCAGCCCTGGAGCGAGTGGCCACCCTGGAGGAGCAGCTGGTGGACGCCCATCGGCAGGTGAGGGGCACCTGGGCACCCACCCCGGGCCCTTCCTGGGGCACTGGAGCTGCTCCCCGGGACATTCGGGGTTGAAGTTGCTCAAACACCACCCTCAGTTGGTTGTGCAGATCAGAGAGATGGTGTTTGGGCCTTTCTGGTGGGAGGCTTTTGTTCTGAACTCGCTGCTTCCATGAAGGATTGTCTTTGTTTGAGGGAACCTTGCAGAGGTTCTGGGAGCCTTTGTCTCCCAGACGAGGTTCCCCCTGTTCTTTTGGCTGTTTGGAGTTCATTTCACTGACACAAACCAACCTGAGTCTGAATTGTTTCAGGAGACTGAGGGTGACTTGGGATCTCCCTGCTTCAGCAGAGACCCAAACCTTACTTCTCCAAGCCCCTCACCTTGCATTCCCCACCTTTTTCCTTGCTGGAGCCCTGGAATGGGGACCTTGCTGTCCCCCGCCTCCAACCCTTTTCATCCTGGAATCCCAGAAGGGTTTGGTGGGAAGGACCTTAAAGCTCATCTCATTCCACCCCCTGCCGTGGGCAGGGACACCTTCCACTATCCCAGGTTGCTCCAAACCTCATCCAACCTGGCTGTGAACACTTCCAGGGATGGGCTGTTCTTGGAGAGGCATCAACCCTGTTTTCCTTCCTGAAGTTTGTGCCCGGCCACTGCTGCCCAAAGGGAAGAGCCATCCCTCGGCCTGACCAAGTTCTTCTCCTCTTTCCAGTTCCCTGGATAAGTCTGGTGGTGCTTCCTCAGGCTCCCAGGTCCCTCACCTCGCAGGGACCACTCCCCATCCTCTCCCCCCAGAGCAGGACATGATGTCAGTGTTTGTTCCCTGCTCCTGCCAGACCAGGTTTCAATCCTGTCTGGCTGCCAACCTGTAAAATGAGCTGGGAGCCCTGGGATACAGGGCTCAGATCCCTGAGGACTCCCCAAGAAAACCTCCCTCAGTGCTCACCTTCACAGCCCCTCTGCCTCCCTCTCTCTTGGAATCATGGAATCATTAAGGTCGGAGAAGACCTCCAAGACCATTGAGTCCAACCTTTGACCAAACACCCCCACGACACAGAACCATGTCAGGAAGTGCCACTTCCATGTGTTTTTTGGACACTTCTGGGGGTGGGGACTCGACCACTGCCCTGGGCAGCTGTGCCAGGGCCTGACCACCTTTTCTAGGAAGACATTTCCCCCAATATCCAACCTAAACCTCTCCTGGAGCAACTTGAGGCCGTTCCCTCTCCTCCTGTCCCTTGTTCCCTGGGAGCAGAGCCCAACACCCCCCGGCTCCCCCCTCCTGTCAGGGGGTTGCAGAGCCAGAAGGTCCCCCCTGAGCCTCCTTTTCTCCAGGTTGAACCCTCCCAGCTCCCTGAGCAGCTCCTGCTGCTCCAGCCCCTTCCCAGCTCCCTTCCCTTCCCTGGACACGCTCCAGCCCCTCAGTGTCTCTCTTGTGAGGGGCCCAGAGCTGCCCCCAGGACTGGAGGTGTGACCCCACCAGTGTCCCATCTCTGCTGCCCAGATCCATGGGTTGATCCCTGTTCCCGGGCAGGTGGCAGCTCTCCAGCAAGGAGCCGTGCGGGAGGCCCCGGCGGGAGAGCGGGATGAGCCCAAGGAACCAGCCCCGAAGCTTCCCTGGAAGGTGAGAGCCCAGGAACCCCTGCTCTGACCACGCTCAGGGAGGACATAGTTCCTCCAACCCCCTGTTACGGCTCCAGGGGGGTGCTGAGAACCCATTTTCCCTCTCCCTTGGGTCCGACCCCCTGGGAAATGCCCTTCCTGGTGGATCCAGCCCATTCCAGAGTGGTGTCAGGACAATCCCAGGGGCTCTGCTTCCCAGAGCTCACAGAATCCCAGAGTGGTTTGGGTGGGAAGGCACTGTGAAGACCATCCCATTCCAACCCCCTGCCATGGGCAGGAACACCTTCCACCAGCTGCCCTGGGAAGCCCCCAACCATCCCCATTCCACTGTGCCTGTGGAAACCCCATCCCTGGCCAGAAGAGGCTGTTCCCAGGGGGTCCCAGAGCGCCGTGTCTCCACTCCCACCCCTCCCCCAGATCCCTGCAGGGCCACACTGCCCTGTTGTGTGGCTGCAGGCGATGCCAGAGCCCGGGAGCTGTGGGGCAGCCTGGCATCCCCTTCCCTCTGTGCCGCCCTGCAGCGACTCTCCAACGGCTCCGTGCACCCGGAGGACGAGGCCGGGCGGGTGGTGGAGCTGCAGGAGCTCCTGGAGAAGCAGAACTTCGAGGTGGTGCAGGCCAAGGAGCGCATCTCTGCTCTGGCTGCCAGCGTGGCTGAGCTGGAGGAGGACCTGGGCACCGCCAGGAAGGACCTCATCAAATCCGAGGAGATGAGCAGCAAGTACCAGAGGGACCTGCGAGAGGTGAGCCACTGCTTCCCACTCTGCCAGGCCTGGGATCAGCAGCATCCAGGCTGGGAAGGCCCTGGAAGTCCTGCTGCCTGTAGGGCATCCCCCAAAAGAGCCCCTGGCCTCTGGGACACTGTCCCCAGGTCCACTGGGAGGACTTCCCTGAGGTGAGAGGCAGACCTGGGGCAGTGAGCTGTGTCCCTGCTAGAAGGTTTTCCTGGGATTGCTTGACTCCCCCTTTATCTCTGTCCCACTCTCCTGCCCCTCATCCCTGTCCAAGGCAGGCTTTTCCCCGTGTTCTTGGACTCAGGGTGTCCCAAGCTCACTGGGTGGCCCAGTTATTCCCATACTGGTGGTCACAGATCAGGATGTGACGTTCCCCAGGCCCTGGCACAGAAAGAGGACATGGAGGAGAGGATCACCACGCTGGAGAAGCGCTACCTGGCAGCCCAGAGAGAGGCCACCTCCATCCACGACCTCAACGACAAGCTGGAGAACGAGCTGGCCAACAAGGAGTCCCTGCACCGCCAGGTACTGGGCCGTGCCCGCGGGCTCCCCGTCACCCCGGGGAGCTGGGAGTGGGCGCTGGGGGCGGCTCAGGTGAGCAGGCACCCACCCTGGCTGTCCTCCAGTGCGAGGAGAAGGCCCGGCACCTGCAGGAGCTGCTGGAGCTGGCGGAGCAGAAGCTGCAGCAGACGATGCGCAAGGCGGAGACGCTGCCCGAGGTGGAGGCGGAGCTGGCCCAGCGCATCGCCGCCCTCACCAAGGCAAGGGGAGGGGGCACCGCGGGGCAGAGACAGGGGGGAGGGCGGGAACCCGCAGGGATGGAGCCCTGGCAGCCCAGGGCACCCGTGCTCATTCCCAGCTGGGGCTCCTGTGTCCCCTGCCAGCCCCGGGGCTGCAGGGATGAGGCACCGCTTTGAAATCCTCCACGTGTGGGGTTTGCTCAGAGATGGCCCTGCTGAGACCACTGGGACCACTCTGGGAAGAGGAGGAAGAGGAAGGACCAGGCTGGGTGTGGGAGGGTGCAGGTCTGGAGGGGGGTGGACGTGGCCATCCCTACCCTTCCTGGGTGCTGGAATGGTGCTGAGTCCCTCTCAGGGCACCTCCAGCTCCTGTCACTGTGCTGGCAGGGCTGGATTGGGCTCCCAGTGAGTGGGAGAAAGGTGCTGCATCCCAGGAAGGATGTGGATGTGTGGATGGATGGAGGGATGCAGGAGGGCCCTCGTGGTTCTGGGGAGCATCATCCGAGAGGGCTGCTCTGCTTTTCCCAGGCAGAAGAGAGGCACGGGAGCATCGAGGAGCATCTCCGGCAGCTGGAGACCCAGCTGGAGGAGAAGAACCAGGAGCTGGCCAGGGTAAGTGCTGCCCCTGCAGTCCTGATCCAGCCTTGGCTGCCCTTCCCTTGGCACCTGGACACCTGGGCACACCCGGTGTCTCCGGAGCAGGGTGGGGAGAGCAGTCTGGGTGAGCCTTTCCCATCCAGAACCTCTCAAACTGGAGCCACACAGGAGCTCATGGCACCCTCTGCTGTGGTTTCCCCCTCTCCCAGGCATCCAGGTCTTTCTGCCGACATTCCACACCCACTCCTCTCCCAGCAGCTCCCCCTGGGGCAGGCTGGGACCTCAAACGCAATGGGGAAGGGGAGGCTCCACCTCAGGAGCAGGATCAGCAGGATCCAAAGGGCAGGGAGGCTGGGCTGCTGTGCCAGGGGCTGCACAGTCCCTGCTGTGCTGCTTGGCCAGTGCCTGGGCTGTCCCTGCAGGAGCTGGGCTGCCCTTTTCTTGGGCATTATGAATGTGCCCCTGGAGAAGCCCCTGATGGTTTTGTCCCAGGACAGATGTTTGCAAATCCAGAAGTCCAGCATCCCTTGGGGTTTGGGATGTGCCCCAGTGTGGCTGTTCCTGGCAGATGCACAGCTGGATCTTTCTTGAGGGTCAGGCAGGCAGGATCTCCTTGAATCCTGTCCTCTCTCCCGTTCATCCCTGGCTGGGAGTGTCAGAAAACCACAACGGGGCTGGAAGGGGTGGATTTGTCCCCAAAAGCTGGGCCTGCTGGGGCAGCTCTGACCCCATGGTAGGCAGGGGATGGCAGGGGGGCACTGAGGCCCTCAGGGCAGGAGGATCAGCCCCTCTGGTCACCGCTTGCTGCCCCAGGCCCGGCAGAGGGAGAAGATGAACGAGGAGCACAACAAGCGGCTCTCGGACACCGTGGACCGGCTGCTGAGCGAGTCCAACGAGCGGCTGCAGCTGCACCTCAAGGAGAGGATGGCAGCCCTGGAGGAGAAGGTACTGCCTGGGGGGCAGGGGGGCCTCTGGGGGGCTGTGAGGGGGTTCTGCAGCCCCTCTGGTGTGGAGCTTCGCCTGCCCACGGCACAGGGTTGGAAGTGCCTGTGCAGGGATGGAGAAATGAGCACATGCAGGACTCCGGCCCTGTGGGAGCACAGGGAGCTGCTCCACGGCTCACCCCGGCCTGGTGAGACCCACTTTCCACTGCCCTCCACCTCCCTCAGCAGCAGGACTTGTCCTGCTCCATTCCCTCCCTCCCCTGTGTCTCTGCTGGCACGGCCTCAGTGCCACCCATGCCTGGCTGTTGGAGCAAATCCCAACTGCATTTTGCAGGAAAAAAATGCAGCATTCATCCTGTCCCACTGCCCACCCCTTCAAACCCTCCTGTCCCCCAAACCCGGGCTGATGTGTCCTCTCCCAGCCAGGGCAGTGCCCCTGAGCAGCCTCCCAGCTCCCACCCCACTCTGGGGAACAGGGTTTTCCTTGGAGCAAAGCAGCTGGAGCTGCTGCTGCCCCAGTGTGAGTTCAACCAGCTGGAGATCAGCTGGCTCCGGGCAGGGATTCACCTCCCAGTGCCAGTGGGAGGTCAGGCCTTGGTAACTCTGCTCCCTTTGGGTTCCTGCAGGGCCCAGACTCCCCTAAGCCAGCCAGGGCACACAGGGCTCCATCCCCCCCGATGGCCCCAGGCCTGGCTCTGTGTCCCTGCTGCTATCCCCTCCTGTCCCACCCACGTGTGGCTCTGCCAGCGTGTCCAGTCCTTCAGCAGTGTGTCCAGGGCCTCTGGATAAACAGCAGGACCACAGGGATGAGCCCAAACCCCACCCCAGCAAGTCACAGGGACCAGAGTGGTGGCACCTGCTCCCCAGCCTGGTGCCACTCAGAGAGCTTCTCCAGGTCTTTCATGGGGAAAAAAAGTGATCCTATTTGACTTCCAGCTTTCCTCCCCCCCAGAAAAGATCACTAGGGCAGGCAGCTGCAAACTCCACAGGGGAGGTTTGGATGAGATATTAGGATAAAAAAATCAATTCACAGGAAGTTTTATGGCGTTGGCACAGTCTGCCCAGGGCAGGGGTGGGGTCACCATCCCTGGGAGGGATCAGCAAGCGCAGGCATGTGGCACCTGGGGACAGGGTTTGGGGCTGAACACGGCAGTGCTGGGGGAATGGTTGGACTCGGATCCCAGAGGGCTTTTCCAACCTTTCCCCAACAATTCTGTGGTTCTATGAACACACCTGCTCTCTCCCCTGGCTTGGATGTAGGGGACACTTTTTCCCTGGATCCAGCTGCCCGAGGGGGAGTTGAGCTCCTCTCACACACAGTTCTAACCCTTCGAGCCCTGCCCATCCAACCCCTCGTCCCTGTTTGCCCTCCCTGCCCGGGTTTGGGGCAGGAGATGGTCCATGGCCACCCTGCCTGAGGGGCAGGATCTGCAGAGGGGACCTGTCCAGGGGCAGGTAGGTGTTCCTGCAGCTCAGGGAGCCTTTGCCACCCCTGTGCCCGGTGCCCATCCCACGGAGATCCCACTCTGGCCATTCCTGGGCCGTTTCCTAAACGGTCTCTCTTTTTCTTTCCTCTTTTTGTTCCCTTTTATTTTCTTTTGGTTTTTTTTTTTTTTTTAAAAGAACACATTGTTACAAGAGCTGGAAAACACCCAAAAGCAGATAGAGGAACACCAGCACGACAAGGTAAATGAGGCTGCAGGGAGCTTGCCCCAGTGGCTGCACTTCCTCACTCCAAACCCCAGGATAGGGGTGGTGGCTCCTCCCGAAGTGCCCTAGTTTTGGAGGAGCTGGGATCCTGGAATGCCCAGCAGCAGGAGGGCACAAACTAACCCACGGCAGTGGCTGGATGGAGGCTGTCACCCACCTCCCTGGAGACCCCTGGGGCGGGTCCCTGCCAGGCATGTTTGGTCCTGTCTCCCTGTTTCTGTCACACTCGTCCATCCCCGACCTCCCAAGGCCTGGGGGGGCTTTGCCCATGGATAGAGGAGGGATCAGGCAGCAATACCCCCTTCCCCTCGAGGCTTTCTCAGACTTAGGGGGGATCAGCTCCACGCCCAGCCTGCAGGAGCCCTGGAGGTCTCACACTCTGAGCTAAAGCATCTGAGTATGACCTGCATGAACTCCCGTTGGCCCATGCTGGAAACCTGAAGGGTTGTTGCAGCTTTTGGAAGCTTTTGGCAGCAATGGGAAGCTTTTGGGATGTGCCTCGTGTCTCGTGCATGGCTGGGGGGGCTGGGGGTCTGCTCTCCTCCTTGGCCAAGGCCTCACTGTCCCAGATGCTCCAAGGACTCGTGTGACACTGTCGGGATGTCGCCCACCCTGGCTCAGCCTGTTTGCCCCCTGACTGGATCCTGCTGTGCAGGAGAGCCCCCCCTCCCCTCTCTCCTACCCTGCCTGCAGCCTCCCCTCTCCCATCTCCCAGTGCAGGCACAGCTCCCCCCTGGGAATGGGGCTGGCAGCAGGAGGGGCAGGACCAGCAGCAAGTTTGGCTGGTGGGTCCCTCCCTGCTGGTCCTTTGCCAAGGGACAAAGTGCAGTGTGGAGAAAACCAGAGCATCCAACTGGGACCAATTCTCCATCATCTCCCAAACCAGCATGGCTTGAGCACACACACATCTGTCTGTCTGTCTGTCCTGTGACCCCTCCCCAGCATCTTCCTCTGTGCCTGCATGAGCTGTTTCTTTACTGTCCAAGATGCTTTAAACCTGGGGTGGGGGTTTTTGAAGGGAATATATCCCTGGCAATGGCCCAGGATGTGGATTCCCTCAGTCCTGGCAGCTCCTCAGAGCCAAACCCAACCCCTGCCTGTCCCGTCTCGCCCCAAACAGCGGCGACTGTCCGACGAGATCGACAAGCTCAGGCTGGAGGTGGATCAGCTCAAGACCAGGAGTGGGACCTTCGTGGAGAGTGTTCACTCCAGGTAAGAGCCAAGCCCCTGCCCCCCAGCTGTGGGGGCGTTTTGCTTTAGGGGACCCCAAGGTGCTGGTGGCATCAGGCATTGCTGGTGGCTCTCAGGGCAGGCTCAGCTCCAGCCCTGCAGTGCTGCCCCTCCTTGGATCTGCCCTGGGTCTAAACACAGACTGTTTGGATCAGCTCAGCCCAGTGAATGGCCCAAAATTTGCTCTTTTAAGGGCGAAAAACCACTGGGATTTGTTTCTTTTTCTGCACAAAGGGCTTGGGGGTTAATTTTCCACGAAAGCTGGATGTTCACCAAAGGCCTTTCCCTCTGTGGTGTGCAGGGGGAGAAAGAGGAATCGTTTTTGAGGTATTGCAGGTCAAACAGAATGAACTCCATTTCCCCCCCTCCTTTCTACCATGGTCCTCCCACACCCTTTCATTTGAAGTCTCTGGGAGATGGGGACGTCCCAGCCCAGAGCTGCTGGAGCAGAGGTGAGTCCGTGGAGTCTCAGCCTCCAGCACTGACTGGGATGCCCAGCAGGAAAACAGGGGGTGGAAAAGGAGGTGACAGCTCAACGTGCACCCCAGGGTGCTGCTGCAGCAGCCTGGGACAGCACACCCTCTCCTGAGCACTCTCAGTGTGGGTTCAAGACACCGAGGGGTCAATGGGAGCAAAATTCCCCTCTCAGGAAGGCTGGAAAAGCTGGAAAGGAGCCACTGAGACCAACCTCAAACCTGCCAGCAGAGAGTGCAAGGTCTGGAGGCCCCAGGTCTGTCATGGAGAGAAGAAAAGGGGAGAGTGAGGAAGAGCCTGTGAGGATCAAGGGTGGCTGAGTGCTGGAGGAGAGTCTGGAGCACTTGTGGGACCCCTTTGGGTCTGTGAGAGCAGGGTGGACAATCCAATGGGGCTTTTTTAATATTTCTTGGAGGAAAAATCAACAGAAATCTGGAGCTGCAGAGTAATCCCCCAGCTGAAATGTCAGCTTTTGCCTGAGGTGCCTTTGTCTGGTCTTAGCTGGGGAGCAGCTTTGTCAGCAGCTCAAATCCCCCCTGGAACTCGAGCTGTGCCTTTGCCTGCACAGCCCAGGCTGGCACAGCCCAGCTGCTCCTGAGGGTGGTTTTGTCTGGGCTCACTGGGGAGCCCAGCCCTGGGTCTGCCCTGCAAACCAGGCCCACCGTGGTGGGCAAACACGACCTGCCTCGGACACCTGCTTTTGTCACCTGAAATGCAGCTTAAATTCAATAAACCTCGTGGCTCCTGTGGGAGTGTGTGCAGGGGGGAACGGCCCCGAGCCCCTGGGTGGGCACTCGGGGCAAGAAGGAGCAGCCAGGAAACGTGGAGACATGGGTGGAGTGCCAGGAGTGGCAGGAAGTGTCCTTGTGTCCAGCAGCCTCTGCTGTGCCCTGCCTGGCACAGGAGCTGCTCCCCAGCATGGAGGAGGAGGAGGAGGAGGAAGAAGTTCCAGCTGGTTCCTGCTGGGAGATCCCAGACAGTGCTCGTGTCCTCACACCTCGAAGGTGCTTCCAGTGGCATTTTGTTCACGGAATTATGGAATCATCAAGTTTGGAAGAGGCCTCCAAGGTCAAGTCCAACCTTTGTCCAAGTCCCATTCCCACTAAATCCTCTCTCCAAGTGCCACGTCCACTCGTTTTTTGAACACTTCCAGGGGTGGCAACTCCACCACTGCCCTGGCAGCCTGTGCCAGTGCTTGACCACTCTGTCAGTGAAGAAGATCTTCCTGATACCAACCTGAACCTCCCCTGGTGCGACTTGAGGCCGTTTCCCCCTGTCCTGTCACTTGTTCCCCCATCGGGGTGTTTTTCCATGAAAATGTTGAAGGAAACAGAGAAAGGAGAGGAGCTCCCTGGCTGGCCCCTGTGGTGCACGTGGGGATGGAGAAGACACAGGTTGTGCTGTGGGTGTTGGGAGGTTTGAGCTGTTCTGGAGGGGGAAAGGCAGGAGGAGCCTGTTCAGCTCCCCCTGCACTGGGGGGGTTTGGGGACAACTGGCTGGATTCCCCCTTGGGGTGCCCAGGATGGGGAGGGAGCAGCCTGGGAGGGCCCAGGGCAGAGCTTCCTACAGCCTGTGGGAAAGGTGGAGTCTCCTGAGGGGAGAATCATTGGGATCTGCAGCTTCCTCCCAAGGGGCAGCTCCGACCTCTGCTCTGGGTGAGATTGGGCAGGGACAGCACCCAGGGAAGGGCTGGAGCTGTGCCAGGGCAGGTCAGGTTGGATCTCAGGCAAAGGTTCTTCCCCCAGAGGGTGGTTGGGCACTGACCAGGCTCTCCAGGGGATGGGCACAGCCCCAAGGCTGCCAGAGCTCCAGGAGGGTTTGGACAACGCTCTCAGGGACAGGTGGGATTGTTGGGGTGTCTGTGTAGGGCCAGGGGTTGAATCGACCATCCTTGGGAGGCCCTTCCAGCTCAGGATGTTTTATGACTCTGTGAGTCTCTGAGCACATCTCCAGGGCCAGTGGGGTGGGAATGGGACACTTTTCCCAGAGCCGGGTTTTTCCTCCTTTCCAGCACCACTGGGATGGGCATCCCGGAGTGGCCTCATCCTCCTGCTCTGTCCCGAGCAGCCTGGGCTGCCAGGGGGGCAGCCTGGGCGCCCTGGCACAGCGGAGCAGTGCCCACCACAGGGCTCTCTGTCCCCAGGTCCCACATGGGCAGTGCCACAGACCTGCGCTTCCCGCTGGTCCACGCGCCCGCCGAGCCCTTCGGAGCGGCCCCGGGGCTGCCCCGGGCACAGAAGGGTCGGTTCGCTGCCAGGAGGGAGGAGCCAGCCAAGGTAACCCGGCTGGGGCGGGGGGGGGCTGGGATCTGCTCCTGCCTGGCATCCTGGCATCGTGGGGCTGGGATCTGCTCCTGCCTGGCATCCTGGCATCGTGGGGCTGGGATCTGCTCCTGCCTGGCATCCTGGCATCGTGGGGCTGGGATCTGCTCCTGCCTGGCATCCTGCTCTCGTGCGTCCTGATTTGGGGGTGTGGGGCAGTTCCCTCTGCCTGGTGCGTGGGTGAGGGAGGTAAGGAGGGAACGCTGGTTTAAAAGGAAAGCAGTGGGAGAAACAAACCCAACTCGAGAGAGATCCCAAGTCAGAGTTACAATTCACTAAAATGATTGCAGTAAGTGCAATGATACGGAGAAAACTGGTTTTAACCCCCAAAGACAGATGTATAACCCAGCACCCTGGGGCAAGAACAGAGCAGTGTTCATGGGCCCCTGTGCTGAGCTCCACGTGGCCCCCCCGGGGGCAAAGGAAAAGGAAAGGAGAGCTGTTGGTCAGGATGGTGGGCACAGTTCTGTTGGAGTTCTGGTCCTCCTCTGGATCCACCAGTGGTCCCAGCAGTGCCCAGACCTGCAGAGTGTCTGTGCTCAGGTTGAGGTGGGGATGCCCAGTGCCTCCCCCAGGGCAGGGACTGTCCCGAGGGGGGATTGAACTCTGTGAGCCCTGGGATGTTTTTGGAACCTTTGATGCTCTGGGTGGCTGCAGCTGCCCCTTGTGCCAGTCCAAGGTGGCCCATGAGCAGTAATGAGCCCTCGGGCTGGGGGTGAAGGTGCTGATGCCTCCCTGGAGGGGAGTTCCCAGGGCTGAGCCATTGGTGTGAGGACAAAGAAACGCTGCCCTGCCTGCAGGGCCTGAGAGCCTGAGGTGTCAGGTGTGCCCTGGGCAGCTGCTGCAAACAATCCCTTTGTTACC